GCTCTCCTGCTCACATTCCTACATCAGGGAAGTTGGGCTTCTTGTGATTAGTGCCTGTTTGTTATTTGGGTGTTTTGTTTTCATTTTTTGGTCGGCTCTCCTGCTCACATTCCTACATCAGGGAAGTTGGGCTTCTTGTGATTAGTGCCTGTTTGTTATTTGGGTGTTTTGTTTTCATTTTTTGGTCGTATGTGCAGATCTTCAGGGCCGTGCTAAGGATTCCCTCTGAGCAGGGACGCCACAAAGCCTTTTCCACGTGCCTCCCTCACCTGGTTGTGGTCTCTGTGTTTATCAGCACTGGCACTTTTGCTTACCTGAAGCCCCCCTCTGTCACTTCCCCATCCCTGGATGTGGTGGTGCCAGTGCTGTACGCACTGGTGCCTCCAGCAGTGAACCCCCTCATCTACAGCCTGAGGAACCAGGAGCTCAGAGATGCTGTGAGGAAGCTCTTGACTGGCTGTGTTTTAGCAGGCATGCACCGCCTGCTTCACGTGCCTCCCTCACCTGGTTGTGGTCTCTGTGTTTATCAGCACTGGCACTTTTGCTTACCTGAAGCCCCCCTCTGTCACTTCCCCATCCCTGGATGTGGTGGTGCCAGTGCTGTACGCACTGGTGCCTCCAGCAGTGAACCCCCTCATCTACAGCCTGAGGAACCAGGAGCTCAGAGATGCTGTGAGGAAGCTCTTGACTGGCTGTGTTTCAGCAGCCATGCACTGCCTGCTTTCCTCTGTAAAGATCTCTCAGTGTAGGTCATGACAGGCCAAATCTGTCTTTGCTGCTTTACATTTGTTTTCATTTTTCCAGTTGTGATATTGTCCTCAATGACATGTCAGTTTTCATCCCCTCCTACTTCAGCATCTGCTCATCTTGTGTGACCCACTGTCTTCGTGTCTCTGGGGGCCTCTCACTGTATTTGAGGGAAATAAATGATCCTGCTGCAGCTTCTTCTCTGTGTGTCTTATTTTAATCCCAGCTGGTAAGTCAGCACCATGCAGCTGCTCGCTCACTCCCCCCTTCCTCCTTTCCCCCACGCTCCCACAGGAATTGGGAGAAGAATGGAAAGAATCTAAATCCCATGGGTTAAGATAAGAATAGTTCAATAATTAAAGTGTAATATAACAGTACTACTAACACCACCAATAATAATAATGATAAGAGAAAAAACAAGGGGAAAGAACATGAAACTAAGAGGGTAAAAGAAAAAGAAAACAATAAACACAGGTGATGCCCAATACAATTGCTCACCACTCACCGACCGATGCCCGGCCTGACCCCAGCAGCGATCTGGGCCTCCCGGGTAACTCCCCTCAGTTTCTATCCTGGGCATGACGTGCTGTGGTATGGAATAGCCCTTTGGCCAGTTTGGGTCAGGTGTCCTGTCTCTGCTTCCTCCCAGCTTCCCGTGCCCCTCCTCACTGCAGAGCATGAGACTGAAAAGACCTTGATCAGAGTAAGTATTGCTTAACAACAATTAAAAACATTGGTGTGTTACAGTGTTGTTCTCAAGCTAAAGTCAAAAACACAGCACTGGACCAGCTAAGAAGGAGAAAAATAACTGTTACAGCTGAACCCAGGACAAATGTCATCAGCTTTCTCCTGAGAGGAGTGCTTCTTTCCATGGGTACTCAGAGAGAACATTTGTCTGCTGGGAGGACACTGTCCTGTAAGGCCTGTCAGACTTGCTCATGCTCCCTTACAATCAGCATCCTGGGCTGTAGGACCAGCAGCACGGATAGGAGAACAAGGGAACAGACAACCTGGGATACTCCATCCAGGTTTCAGATCCCCAATCCAGGAACACTATTGGAAAGCAGGAGTGGGTTTTCAAAGGGCCTTCAGGACAGGCAGGGACTGGAGCACGTTGCCTGTGGGGAGAGGCTGGGGCAGCTGGGCTTGTCCAGCTCCCAGAAGAGAAGGCTGATGGGGACCTGAGATCTTGGGAAGGGAAGGCTGTCGGGGACTGGCTGCCTGTACTGGCAAGGAGGACATGGAGAATGCAGAGCCAGGCTCCTCCCCATGGTGCCTGGTGGGAGGACAAAAGGCAATGGGGGATAGTGACAGAGGAGAGCTTACACC